CCACTGGATACTGGGAAGGGTCCCCTGCAAGAGCATCCAGGGCTCTTACACAGAGCCATCTCTCCAGTCCTGCTACGCTGCAGCTCACTGAGCACTGAGCATCTTGCCCGGGGACTCTTTCTCAGCACCACATAGTGACTCACAACCATCTGTGACTCCAGTCCCAGAGGACCTAACATTCTCTTCTGACCTCTGTGGGCATACATGCAGGCAAAATACCCCGACACATTAAAAAAAAAAATCACGAATCTAAAAGGATATAGATGTGGGAGGAAGGCTTACTGGGTAAAAGCCTTGGTCTGAAGCACAAGGACCTGAGTTCTAGTCCTCAGCACCCACATAAAAGCCATGTGGTGGTGGTCCACGTCTTTAATCCCAGCACTTGGGAGGCAGAGGCAGGCAGATCTCTGTGAGTTCAAGGCCAGCCTGGTAAAAAGAGTGAGTTCTAGGATAGCAAGTGCTGTCACACAGAGAAACCCTATCTCAAAACACAAACAAACAAAAAGGCTGGGTGTAAAACTGTACCAGGGCTAGGAACAGATACTGTCTCAGAAAATAAGTTAGAGAGATGGACGCAAGGGTCAACAAGTGAAGACGCCTGCTCCCCTGAGCCCCCTCCCCCACTTCCACAGACAATACATGAGTGAATGGATTTACAAACTCACAAACTGGAGAGCAATGGAGGGAAACACCAGCTATCAACCTGTGGTCTCCACATACGCACACATGAGTGCACCCCCCCCCAGTATATATGTGGATGGGGGCACTCAACAGGCCCTGCCCCTCTCTGAGGATTGACAGGTAGCAACTATTGCTGGGGAGGGAGAGATATTTCCTCAGTGGTGTGGCCACTGGTAAGGAGCCCACAGCCCTGTGAACAACCCCCGCTACTCACTTGTCTCTCACACACACATACAAAACAAAACAAAACAAACAAACAAAAACCATAAGCTGGAAAATACATGGGCTGGGAGGATGATGCACTCCTTTAACCCCAGCACTCAGGAGGCAGAGGCAGGCTGATCTCTGTGAGTTCGAGACCAGCCTGGTCTATAAGAGCTAGTTCCAGGACAGCCTCCAAAGCCACAGAGAAACCCTGTCTCGGAAAACCAAAGGGAAAAAAAAAAAAAGAAAGAAAGAAAGTAAACGGGAGCTGGGAGGAGATGAGAGGAAGTAATGGGTGAATATGGTCAAATTGAGTGTGTGTTATAAAAATATAGTGGGGCTGGAAGTTGGCTCAGTAGTTAAGAACACTTGCTGAGTTCTGGCTGTTCTGGAACTCACTGTGTAGATCAGGCTGGCCTCAAACTCACAAAGATCCCCCTGCCTTCCAGTGTGGGAACTAAAGATGTGCACCACCAGCCTTTTATTTCTTTATTTTTATTCATGTGCACATGTATATGGTGTGTGCCTGAGTTTATGAGTACCATGTGCTTGGAGGCAGGTGCAAAATCCTATAGAGGTGGAATTACAAGTGATTGTGAGCTGCCATTTGGGTGCTGGGAATCAAACTCAGGTCCTAGGTCCTCTGCTAGAACAGTTAGCCCTCTCAACCACTGAGCCATCTAACCAGGTCCTTAAATTATTATTATTATTTATTTTTTAAGACAGGCTCTGGTGTAGCACAGGCTGGCCTCAAACTCATGGGAGCCACGGATGACCCTGAGTATTAATCTTCCCACCTCCACCTCCAGAGATCTGGGAAATCCCCACACCTGGTTTATGAGGTGCTGGGGTTGGACCTGGAGATCCATGTGTGCCTGGCAAGTGCTGTGCCAAAGAAGTCTGCTTTTTAGCCAAGCTTCACTATGTGTTTCCCTTGCTCTGGGTTCTAGAATCTTCTCTTGCTCATGCCAAGGCTAGGCTGGCAGGAAGGCTGTGCTGGGCCCTGAGCCATTTCCCTTTCTTGTGGCGCTGCCACCTTCCTCCAGAATCATGTTATCTGCTGGGAAAGGCACTTCCTGCCCTGCCCAGGCCTGCCTCACTCTGTTCCCAGACACAGGTTTGCCTGTCAACTAGTTCATAGAAAAGCTATGTCCTCCATGCCATCAATCCCAGGGTCACCTAAGCACACAAGGCCTTCCCAGATAACAATGAAAACTCCAAGTCCAGCTAGGCATGGTGGCTTGACATGCCTGTCATCTCTGCATGATAAATTTAAGGTCATTCTTGACTAGGTAGTGAGTTGATTCTGACCTACACTTCATGTGTCAAAAAACAAACAACCACTAGCCTTATGCATAATGACACAGGCTCAGAGAGGTCATCCAGTCACCCGGGAGTCACAGCAAGTAAAGATTAGAACCTTATAGAAAATGCCAGGATAGGCTCCAAAGCTACATAGAGAAACCCTGTGTAAAAAAAGAAAAAAAAAATGGGTCTATCTGCAGCCATTCCTATTCAACACAATGACAAATGGGAAGATACTACTCATAGGGATTAGCCATTATGTTCAAAAGAAAGCCAACACTGAGCTGTAGCACAATTGGTTGAGTTCTTATCCAACAGACCTGGGTTCCTTTCTCAGCACTGAATAACCTGGGTGTGGTGGTGCACACCTATAATCCAAAATTGGAAGTTGAAGGCAAGAGGATCAGTCTTTTGGCTACATCTAGAATTTAGTGAGAAAGCTTAAACTATTTTGCAGAAATATTATGGGGGTGTCTACACAGTCTCGCATTTTCATTATAGTGAGGTGGGCTAAGTTACAGGCAAAACAAGATCCTGCCTATGGTAAGGCACGGAGGCCTGAAATCCCAGCTAGTGGTAAAAGCTGAGACTATCTGAGTTACACAGCAAGACCTCTCACAAAATTGCATGCTTTAGGCTCTAGGTTCATTTAGTCCTCCGTATCTATAAGGAAGGAAGGAAGGGAGCAAGGAAGGAATAGACAAAAAATTCCACTTACAAACAGTCAAGTAGGATGGCCTGCCTGGAAGCCATGATGTGATTCTGACTGCAGAAACCAGGTAGAGCCTCTTTCACAGGCTCCCTGAGTCTTGTAGAGGAAAATATGAAGCAAGCCTGTGGTTTGTTTACTGTTCCTTCTGCCTAGAACACACTTGTCTCAATTTATCTCACCAGGGCCTCACTCTCCAACCTTCATCTCTTAAAATAGACCCTAGCGGCTCTTCCACCCATGATGTCTTGTCCGTTGCCCTACAACATTAACAACCTGTCATTACATGCTCATTCGTTTGTCCACACACACAGCGGTCCAAGGTTTCTCTGCTTGGAGGACTGCTGTGTTCCCCGGCAAACCATTGCCTGTGAAAGTTTCATTAAATTCTTGGGGGTCTGAAATTGGAGGTGTTGGGCAGAGCAGCAGAATGGGTTCTAGGCTCAGCCACTTGCTGGGATTTGGCAATGCACCCACATGGCCTTGAGGGTCCAGTCCTAGCCTGAGTATGGCATTGCCTTGAGTTCCAGTCTACCCTTGCAGAACTCACTCCAGGCCCTGGGTTCCATCCCCCCCCCCCCCCCCCAGCTTTCTGAGCATGTACGACACTATTTGGGGTCCAGTTCTAACTAAAGAGCCAGCAGCTTTCAATCCCATTGCTTACTGACCAGGCATGAGGCCCTGTAAGTATCATCCTGGCACATCATACCGCTTCCCTCTGTCTCCCCCCCCCCCCCCCCCACCCCCCACCCCCACAAAAAAAAGCAATCTCATCCTTTGGCCAAATTCAAGCCTGGGCAAATCATCCTTGTTCACCCCTGCCCATTCTTATTCCAAAAAGACTTCAAGAAAACCAACGATACCCTCAAGTGTGATACACAGCATATTCAGGCTCCCAGACTGAGATTTCCACACCAGAGACAGACAGCCACACCCAAGAGTTGCACAGCAAGAGCAAAACCAGACCTGGGGCTTCAGACAGGGAGCCTCCCTGGTGACTGGAAACTTCAAGCACCCCAGGAGGTCCTTGGAATACTAGGTCCTTTAGGCTGGGCAGGGTAGGTCACAACCTCTCCCAACTGCCCACTCACTTTTTTTTTTCTCTTTAGGGCGCAGTTGGGGGAACAAGGAGGCGGCTCAGGGAGAGCCTACTTGCTTCTCTAGTTATTTTTGAACTGTTTCCGGCCCCCTCCCCAAGACTCTAGAGTCTAGTAGCTTCCAGGAAGTTCCTGTCACACAAAGTGGGAGATCAGGGGGGAGGGATAGAGCCCCTCGGCCATAGTCTCAGCCGTGCCACTTAAGGTTCGTGACAGATTTGGGCCCAGGGAACCCAAAATAGATAAGAGGAAGGAGGCTCAGAGTTCAACACACCCGGTTCGTGGGAACCCGGGGTCGGGCAGGGTGAGAAAGCCGCATCCTGGCCCCACCCCCAGCTCCAAGTGGCTGAGGCGGCCCTCAGGCCTCACAGACTGTAGGGTCCCGGTCTCCCGGACCCTTTAAAATTGCAGGCACCTGTAACAATCCGCTTGGGCAGGGAAAGTTTCTGAATTGCTTGCGCCTCATCAAAGGCACCCTCGTTTCTGCCCTTCCCTGACCCTTCCCAACCCCAGTATACAGGTGCGTCCAATCTTGCCTCAGTTTCCCTCACAAAAGCTTGGGATCGTTACTTCTGGATGTTAACGGAAGAGATGCAGAGAGTATTGGTCCCTTGAGGAGACGGGACATGTGGAGAGGTGGGGGCCCTATTCCTGCCCACCCCCCAAGCTATGACCGCCGAGCCTCCCCTCCCCCGCCCACCATCTAATCCGCCCAGATAACGGGACCTCCAGGGGAGGAGCATGCGCCCTACTCCCCGGACCATCGCTCAGGAGAAAGGAGTAAGCTTGAGAACCCTAGGGAAGGGACACGGGGCACAACCTGGGTTGGGGACAAACGCTCCAGCTGAGCCAGCGCGGGATGCAGAGGCCTGAGAGAAGGAAGGGCCTTCGTCTTGGCTGCAGCCACGAGCATTTTGTTTTAAGGCTCTCAGATGTCCTCCTTCCTCAACCGCCCCCCTTCCCAAGTCAGCACAGGTGACCTCCAGGCCGGAGGCGGCTCCTACCATACACTGCGTCCTTCCGATCGTCCTCCATGGCCGCCACCCGAGGGGAGCCCAGTCCGAAATTCAGCGCGACCCCAACCCTAGCGGGCTGGAGACACCGCGCGCGGCAGGCCCCGCCTTGCCCCGTCTGGCCCCGCCCCCGGAGCGCACGCCAATGGGAGCTCCGCGTCCGAGGGGCGTGGCCAGAGTTGGGAGTTAGGGGCGGCCACCTTCCAGTTTCTAGTTCGCTCTCACTGCAGCGGGCTCCTCTGGGTAAACGCAGTTAGCGGGTAGCGTCTGCTTGTCAGTGGTTCTTGTTTGTTTGTATGTTTTTGTTTTTCGAGGCAGGGTTTCTCTGTGTGGCACTGGCTGTCCTGGATCTCACTGTGTAGACCAGGCTGGTCTCGAATTCAGAGATGCTTTTGCCTCTTCCTCCTGAGGGCTGGGATTAAAGGCGAGAGAGAGCCACTACTGCCCAGCGAGTCATTCTTCGTCCCCGGTATTGAGCTCTGACTGTGAGCTAGAGGACTGAGAAAAACTTGTCATGTGTTCATTCATCCAAAGGGAATAAAAGCTGAGGAGCAGTAAATTCCGTGGCAGCCTGGAAGGGTGGTTCACTTTAATTCGTTAATCCCGGCACTAGGGAAGCAGAAGCAGAAGGATCTCCTTTAGTTCTGAGCCAACCAGATAGGGCTATACATAGTGAGAGCTTGTCTCAGAAAAGGCGGGCCAGGGCTGGAGAGATGGCTTCATGGCTAAGAGCACTAGCTGCTCTGCCGGAGGACCTGAGGTCCCAGCACCTCCAGAGGATCTGATACCCTCTTCTGACCTCCACAGGCACTGCACTCACATGTGTGTGGATGCACACACATACACACACATTAAAAACAAAAGGAAGAAAACAGTCAAGTAGCATAAACTTGAAATTCTAACCAAGTTCATCCCAGAATGGTCTCACTGTTGAAGCCATGGAAAGTAAAGGTGTTGGTGCTGCCAGCCTTGATAATTACTATGAAAACCATGCATGCATGTACTTACACAGGCACACAAACAAATAAAAAATAAGTCATTAGTAAAGGTTGCTTTTTAACTTTTATCGTTTTTATTTTATGGGTATGAGTGTTTGGCTACATGTGTGTATGCGCTCCAGGTGCATGCAATGCCCTCTGAGTCCAGAAGAGGGCGATGGATTTCCCAGGAACTGGAGTTTACATGCAGTTGTGAACCACCATGGAACTCAGGCCCTCTACAAAAACAACAGATGTTTTTAATTGCTGAGCTATCTGTCTCAGAGTTACTGTTGCAGCAATAAAACAACATGACCAAAAGCAACTTGGGGAGATGATTTATTTCACTCAACGTTTCATATAACAGTTCATTATGGAAAGCATTGAGGGCAGGAACCTAAGTCAGGAGCTGATGTAGAAGCCATGAAGGAGAGCAGCTTACAGGCTTGCTCCCTATGGCCTGCTCAGCTGCTGCTTCCTTCTTTTTGGTTTTTCGAAACAAGGTTTCGAGACAAGCTTTGGAGGCTGTCCTGGAACTAGCTCTTGTAGTTCAGGCTGCTTTCCAACTCACAGAGATACACCTGCCTCTGCCTCCCGAGCGCTGGAGTTAAAGGGGTGTGCCACCAACACCTGGCTCAGCCTGCTTTTTTATAAAATCCAGGACCACCTGCTCAGGAGTGACAACACCAACCATGGGCTGGAAACTCACCCATCAATCACTAATTAAGAAAATTCCCTAAAGGCTTGCTTATAGACCAATCTAATGGAGACATTTTCTAAATTGAGGTTCCCTCCTCTCTGATGACCCTAGTTTGTGTCAAACTGACATAAAACTAGCCAGAATGCTCCCCCCAATACAAAATAAATCTTTATTTATTTGTTTTTGGAATTCAGTCTCACTATGGTCCTGGCTTTCCTGGAACTTGGTATGTAGACCAGGATGGAAGAGATCCTTCTGCCTCGGACTCCAAGTGCTGGGATTAAAGGTGTGTGACACCTTGTCTGACCTTAAAGGGATGTTTTGTAAAGAAGAGAGCTGAGAGTACTGAGTGTCACCCCAGCACTCTAGCATTAGAGAGTGGGGAAAGAGTCTGAGGCCACCTTCAGCCACAAAGCAAGTCTGAAGTCAACATGGGCAACTGGCTAGCTCAGAGTGAAAACAGAGACAAGAGCTAGGCATGGTGGCATAATCAGGAGGCCAAAGCAGGAGGATCTCTGTGTTCAAAGGTGGTCTGTTTTACATAGTGAGCTCCAGGACAGCAAAGCTGTGACGTCTCTCTCTCTCTCTCTCTCTCTCTCTCTCTCTCTCTCTCTCTCTCTCTCTCTCAACACACACACACACACACACAAGCTGGCAGTGGTCGTTCACACCCTTAATCACAACACCCAGCACTTGGGAGGCAGATGGATCTCTGAATTTGAGGCTAATCCAGTCTTCAGAGAGAGTTCCAGGACAGCCAGGATGCAGAGACACCCCGTCTTGAAAAACAAAAAACCAAAACAAATCAGAAAAAAGAACAGCAGGGCAGTGGTGATGCACGCCTTTAATCCCAGCACTCAGGAGGCAGAGGCAGGCGGTTCTCTGAGTTCTATGCCAGCCTGGTCTACAGAGTGAGTTAGAATGTATACTGCTCAGTAAGGTGTGTGTGTGTGTGTGTGTGTGTGTGTGTGTGTGTGTGTGTAGATTACCAAGGCCAGAAGACTAATGATCTTTGGGAGGCAAGAAGGCAGATCAGTTCAACAGGACTCAGTGCTGGTTCAAATTTTGTGAGTCTGACTCTGGTTATTTTAGTCATATTTAAGCACAATTTGATGAAAACATTTGCATGTGCACAATAAAGCTTGAGACATAACTACATCAAAACTTTTATAAAGTACATGTGACATATTTCATTAAGAAAGAAGCAGAGACAGGTGGTGGTGGCACACACCTTGAATCTCAGCATTCGGGAGGCAGAGGCAGGCAGAGCTCTGTGAATTCAAGGCCAGCCTGGTTTCCAGAGTGAGTGCCAGGATAGGCTCCAAAGCCACAGAGAAACCCTGTCTTGGAAAACAAAAAGGAAAGATGGATATTTAGTGGGACATGGTGGAGGAAGTCCTAGAACTTGGGAGGCAGAGGCAGGTGAATCTTTGTGAGTTCTAGGCCAGCCTGGTCTACAGAGTGAGTTTGAGGACAGCCAGAGCTACACAGTGATACCCAGTCTCAAAAAACAAAAGGAAACAAAACTAAAAATTAGTTCTGTAGATTGACTACAAGTGACATCTTCCATAAAGATAGTTTTGTGTCCATGTCCATCTCCCACCCCCCCCAGTTTCAGGATTTCTCTAAGTAACAGCCCCAACTGTCCTGGAACTCTCTCTGTAGACCAGGCTGGCCTTGAACTCACAGAGATCTGCCTGCTTCTGCCTCCTGAGTACTGGTATTAAAGACTTGTGCCACCTCTGTTCCACTAAAGATAGATAGGTTTTACAGATTGATAAGCTGTTTATAAGGGTCTGGGGAGTTTCCAGTGTGGTCTTGGCCAGGCCACACAGAATCACAAAGGTCACCAGGCTATTTACCTTCAGGGAAGATAACAGATCATTCCTCCTTTTCTTTGAAGGAGCAACCCTGTATGTTTAACATTCCAGGTTCCCCCAGTGCTCATCTCTGAGCACAAGGGCTTCTATGCCTCCTACACACATTTTTTTTTTTTTTTAATTTTTAAAGAGAACATGTGTCTGTAATTGAGACTAAGGTTGAATGCATTGCCTGCATGGCTAGGCTATTATGGGAAAGCTTAAGAGAATGACAAGAATGGCTAGCAGAGGACTAAGGAAAGCTGAAAGCCATCCTGATCATGATGGCCAAGCAAAGGCCACTGAGAGATTTTGCTTACCTCTATATGTGGATAATTCATTTTTTATTTTTTTTTAAATTATTTTATTTTATTTTTGGTTTTTCGAGACAGGGTTTCTCTGTATTGTTTTGGAGCCCGTCCTGGAACTCTAGGCTGGCCTCAAACTCACAGAGATCCGCCTGCCACTGCCTCCACAGTGCTGGGATTAAAGGTGGGCTGTGGATCACTGATTTAACCATCAATAGTATGAGAAAAATCTGATGCATTAAAGAAACACATTCCAGGAAATTGTTGACAACTTCCACTGCCTGGGGTGGGGGGTGGGGCAGCATCCAACAGCTCGGGCTCAAAGGGAATCCATAGAGTCAGCATACTAAGACAAGTTTATCTGAGGGAATTAAAGGAAAACACACGCACACACTCTCTTGATGGTTTCTTTCTTTATTCTTCTGTATTCTCTATTCTTTATTTTCCTGGTGATTTCCTTCTCTCATTCTTGATGTTTTCCTTCTAACGCCTTCTAACTCCACTTCTCCCCTTACAGCTTATATACCTCAACAAAATCTTTCAGGAAATATAAAAATTACAACATGGTTATATTCTAGTTTCTAAGTGAATGACTACAATGAGTACAAGTATAAAGAACAGAATGTTTTCCATATCCCTTACATGATTAAACATGAAAAACAAGTTGTCCCAAGATCCCATGTACATTCATACTCAAGCAACTTGTTATAGAGTAACAAAGTAAGTTTTTTTTTTTTTTTTTTCTGGCAAATTGCACTTTGCAGAAAAAAAGGACCAATCACTTTATTACTTATCTTGAAAGGTAATCTTATAAGAATCTTAAACTTTTATTCATGAAAAACATCAGTCAGCTCTACTTTAAATCTTTAGGATGCATACCCACTCATCAATAGTTTCTTGTATCAGGAAATTGAGGGCAGAAATGGACATAAGGAATCAATCATCATCTTTGGTCATCAACCAACCTTAGCAAGAAAGGCAGATTAGCTACTGATAATTGGGCTACTTTGTTCTTGTTCCCTGACCTTATAGAGTTCCTCACTCAACTATGTGCCTTTCTAAAACTTTAGATTGTCTTCTTCAGTTTTTCACCTCAATACTATTTAACAAAAACATCTTAGTCTAATTTTAAGTTATTTTCAAAGTTTTGTTTCAGCTATGATGCACCCCAAAACCCATGACCAACCACACTTCCTAACTTTAAGATGAGAAGAATTTAAACTAGATGGGCTACTGGAACTCAATTGTTTTTCTTTTCTTTCTTTCTTTCTTTCTTTCTTTC